TTTTGTGCTCGAGCAGGTTTCTTTACGCTCGAGCGCTGGCGCTCGAGCGGGTAGTACCTTTTGGTGTAAGTTCTGGGAGGGAGAAATCTACGCTTGAGCGGACTGGTTTTCGCGCTCGAGCGGATGTGCTTTATTCTTGTGTCTTGGAGCTCGAGCGGGTTTTCTTGCGCTCGAGCGTACCTAGTTTTTGTTCTTGACACTAGAGCGTTGTGTTTTCCGCTCGAGCGGGAATGTCGTATATCAGTTAGCTGAGGGGCAGTTTTAAATCACTTTTTCTCATTATTTCTCTCTCTTACTTTTCTGAAAAATCCATTTGAGAGTTTCTCTCTTTAGGACCTTGCCTTCTCTCTAGGTATTGATCTAGTATGAGTTGTCTCCTCACCTTTGACCTTTACAAAAAGGTTGTTGATCGTCGAGGGCTATCTTTTGATCCGAGAAACTCATGGTTTGGAGCAACTTCGTTTTCGCCATCTTCTTTGGGTGTCATCTTTTGAGGTAGGGATTCCTACTCACTACTATGGGTTTTGACCTAGATATTTGGGTATTTGTATAAATGGTTGATTTTGGGAAGTTAAGGTTTGAAAATATTGAAAGGGAGTTTTGTTATTTTGATTAAAAAATATGTATTTTGGGTTTCAAAACAATGATATTGTTGTTGGGTATTGATATATAGGCCATTGGGTCAATATTGGGAAATGGGGTAGAAAACCTTAATTTGTTGTATAAATTAATTGGTATAACTAATTTGGGAGAATTGTAGACTTATGGAATTGAGTGAGAAATAATGAAATTAGTTCATTATATGGTAGAATAGTGGAGTTAGATTTATTAATCGCTCACTTTTGAAAACATTGATATTTTATCTGTTGGAGTTTTTATTATCTGTTTAGAAATAATTGCTTGGGCTACCGGTGGAGGGTAATTTTGATTGTTGTAGACAATGCATGATGATTAGGCAAACTAAAACTAATCAATTGGATATGTCATAGAGTATGATGGTTGATAGAATACATTAACGTTATGTATTGATTGATTGTGCATATGACCTTTTTGTATATACGCTGTGTGTGTGGGAGGAGATAGCGGATGTACTCCACGGTTTAGGAGAAGATAAGGGATGGACCTCTAAACCGGATTTTGTTTGGGAGGAGATAAGGGATGGACTCCACTGATACAGCTCATATGCTTGTCAGATAATGTGTTGATATAGCTCATATGCTTATCTTTGGAAGTGTTGATACAGCTCATATGCTTATCATTGGAAGTGTTGATATAGCTAATATGCATATCTGTTGAAGTGTGGATACAGCTTGTATGCTTATCTGTTGAGATGTTGATACGACTAGTATGTTTATCTATTGTAAAATGGGAAATGTTAATATGAGTCTGTGTCTCATATAAGTGGTTGGCCAGGTTCTGAGCCGTTAATATAAATTGTGAAACTGATAAGGAATGGAAACGGGTTGTGAATTGGTTTATGAAAATTGAACATTTATCAATTGCTAATCTCTTAGTTATTGCTCATACTGTGTTTAGCATATCTCTACTAGGCGTTGGCTCACCCTTTATGGGACATTATTTTCAGGTACAGGTAGTATGCCACCTCCAAGGACATAGCTTGGGTGAGGATGAGAGTTGAAGACTCTTTTTGTTTATTTTGATGTATTACTTGTAAATTCAAACCAAGGGCTTAATATGTATTGAGTTAGCACTCTTCCTTTTTGTAACCAAGTATTAACTTGGAAAGCTGTAAGCCCATAGGGCATTTGCTTTTGTTGTTAACATGTAATACAGTTGTAAGAAATACTCTGATGAATAGAAATGATTGGTTTCTTTTATATTCATGCATGTTTAAAGTAATGGGTTTTATGCATTATTTTGAGGGCGTTACAGTTTCTGTGAAATTTCAATTTAGGATGATTAAACTGAATGATTTTTGTTTTATTCACCTATGGTATGCTTATATATAAATATATACTCATGTTCATTTGTGTTGGACTTAGAAGATTTTCTTCAAGATATTTTTCTAAGAGAGAAATGATGAGAGAGAGAGTGGAGGTTTGAGAGGAATTCAACAAGGAGAAGGTAGAGAATCTAAGGAGCTCAAGCTTAAGGTAAATCTAATCGTTTTCCAAAACCTTTCTCTTAGCTTTGAGTGAGATTTTCCCTTTGATCATGGTATTTGAAGATGGTAATTGTAACCTTGTGTATGTGTAGAAGTTAATGGGCAAGATACTCTTACTTGGTTGTTTGATTCACTTTGAATTAACCATGAAGAAGTTGTATTTGATCTTTTAATTTGAATTCAAGTATGTGGACATATGTTTATGGATGTGTAAAGTTAGAACTCTCATGGACATGTGAATGTTGTGAGCCTAAGAATGATGAACTAAATTAGATTGATGTAATTGTCATTGTCTTAACATGATTTTAGACCATTTATTATCAAGTAAGAATGCTAATTTGAGCCTTGTAAATATGTGCCAAAATGTGGGATTTTGCAAGAATTTTCAGACTGTTTTGGGCAGAATCGCCGCACGTGCGGGGGTCATGGCCGCACGTGCGAGAGGTGCTGCCGCACTGTAACAACCCTCACACTGTTTACCGACTAAACACTGTTTACCGACTAATGACTGACTGATTACTGTTAAACTGAATTGATCATGACTGATAATTGAGCTGATTAAAAGTACTGAACTGACTGACTGGAGTCTGGAATTAATTGACTGACTGTATCTGTTTAAATGCATAACCTATCTGTTTGATTGTTTGATTATCTGTTCATGTTTTATGTTTAAACTGCTAATTGAAGGCCTTATCGGCGGCCGAACCGGGAATCGATTAATGTTTTATAATCCTCATAATTAATGTGAGTTTATGGTGTATTTACCTGAAAACTGATTAGGTATGACTAAATTAGATTAAAACAAGCTAATTAAAGAGTTAGGCTTAATTACCAAATTGCCATTGTTAGTGGGCCTCTTATTATAACATATTAGAGCCTTGTGCACACTTGAAACAAACATTTCCTCAGCCTTGTTTGATGCTCTAGCCGACCTTAGAGAGAGAGAGGTAACAACGTAGATGTTTGGAAAATTACTATTTTAGTAGACTATTTTAATAGGCTAAAATTTTTGTGTTTGGAAAGATGATTGAATTTTTTGTAGTTGGATGTGATGTTTGTGAGAGAAAAAGTAGAATAATTATGGATTTGATGAGACATTTTGTCTTATTAAGTATTTTAGACTATTTTATTTGTTTGTGAATTGTAACCTAAATTAGACTAAAATTTCACTTCCCAAACAAACCTAACGTAACACTAAAAAAAAAAAAAAAATTAGTGTGCTTTTCCCAAATGTAACATTTCAATTAATGTAATTCCAAATGTAACATTCTAATGTAACATACAGAAATACCAAAAAATTTCTTAGTGTACTTTTTCTAAACGTAACATACACAATTTGAAATTGTACTTTTATCCAAAACTTACTAAGGAATTTTTGTACTCATTTTTGAATGGTTTGAAGAATCTCACAATTTTTTTTTTTAGTGTTACGTTTGGAAAAAGAACATTAAGGAATTTTTATATGTTACATTAGAGTGTTACACTAAGGAGTTTTTTTAGAGTGTTATATTGGAGTGTTACGTTTAGGAAAGTACATTAAAGAGTTTTTTGCAGTATTACATTGTAGTGTTATACTAAGAATTTTTTTGGAGTGTTACGTTTGGGAAAGTATATTAAGAAATTTTTTTAGAGTGTTACGTTTGCGTGTTACATTGGGGAATTACAGTTTGAAATCATACATTTGTCCAAAACTTAATAAGGAATTTTAGTACTCTTTTTGAAATGTTTGAAGAATTTCACATTTCAAATCATTCTAAATAAAAAAGATTTCCACATAAAAATTGATTCAAATTTAATTCGCATAGGTTGTGTATCTTACCTTTCTAGCACAAAAGAAAAGAAAAGAAAAGAAAAAAAAAGAAGATAATATAAAAAAATGATATAATCATAAATTTAATTTTCAAATACATATTAAATCATATTTCTAAAATCAATGAGATTAATTTATCTATAAAAAAATTTCTTGAAAGTAAACGAATAATCATTTCTCAAGATAAAATTATTGGTAAATTTTCCTTAAAATTATAGGGTGTGTTTGGTTTGGTTTTGAGAGATAAATTTTCAAAATAAAAAAAAAAATTTGGAGAAAGAGTTTAGAATTTTTTTGATTTGTTTGGTTGTATATTTTGAAAATAATTTTGGAGTATGGGAGTTTGAAATAATTTGATATTTTGTTATAGTTGAGTAGATGTATGTGAGAGAAAAAGTGATTGAGAAGAAGAGATGAGAGATAAAAAGTGATTAATTAATGTGTAGAAAAGAGAAAGTGATTTTGGAAAAAAACATTCCAAATCACTAAACCAAACAAAATTTTATAAAATTTTGTCCAAAGTTTGTTTCTCAAAAACAAACCAAAAAATACCATAAATTTTAGGAGATTTTTTTTTAAGATCTCTGGTATGAAGATTTTATAATATAAAGGATACTAAATATTTTCATAATGTCTAAGGTCCCTCAACATCGATCCGGAGAATTTCTCTCGATGAATTTTCTCTAGACTTCACAAAGAATTTCTCTGGTCAAATTTTCTCTAGACTTCATAGAGAAATTATAGTTCACAGAGAATTTCTCTAGACGAATTTTCTCTGGACTTCACAGAGAAATTCTGGTTCACAGATAATTTCTCCGGTCAAATTTTCTTTGGACTTCACAGAGAAATTCTGGTTCACAAGGCTTTATTATTATTGAGAATTTCTCTAGACTATAAATTTGAATTATTGACAATTTCTCTAGACTATAAATCTATAATTTATTGCAGGGTGCATTCACAAGGCTTCATTATTATTTAGAAGCAAAAGAGAAACAATGATTATAAGCAAACTAGAAAATTTGGGAAAGATGAGAAATAAAGTTGGAAGAAATTTTCTCTGGTTACCTCTTCAGGTGCTGAAGAAACTTCAGGGGCCTTATTCACTACAGGCTCGGGTTGTACTAAGACCTCTGGTTCTTGATCATGCTCTTCATCTGCCTCCTCATCACCTTCATCAAGAATGTCTTCTTCACTTTCATTTTCCTGTAATTCAACATCATATTTGAGTGATAGTTTTCCAAGACTCGTTATTTTTTTTAACCAGCTATTAATATAATGCCACAAGTGAAAAACATATAAATCTTGAACTACTCTAAACCAGGAAAACTTCACTCAACTCAACGAGTCTTTGTCCCAAATACTCAGGGTCGCTACATGGATCCATCTCTTCCAAACCAGAAAAATATTAAAAGATAACAAAACAAAAGAGAACAGAACTATTAATCAAGAAGTAAAAGCCATAATTGATATGCGTATATGTATTTATATTACAGGGCAAATCTGCACCAGATACAAATTCTAAAATTTTACATAAAGGGCTTGTTTCAATCAAGTATCACAACATTATCTGTCGAATGGTCTCCAATTGATAGCATAAAGGTAAACAGAAATTCCAACACATCTTCATTCTTGAACCTTGCTTCTTAATATTGTGAAAACAAGTTTCAACTTTTATGACTACATCTCCTACGCATTGAGATAGAACCAACCCAAGCCAATGATTCTACCTCAACAAACAATCATCATTTTACAGAAACTATAGTACCATTGTCAAATATGGTGCAAACCTCAAATATTATGGCTAGAAAGTCATTCATAAAGAAATTATTGTTTTGTCAAAACTAAAGCTTCATTTGTCTCAATGGAAAATAACAAATTAAAAGCTCATCCTCTGAAAATTCGATTCAGAAAAAATTGCTAAATCCAGAGAAAATTACCAAATCCAAAGAAAATTCAAAAGTAATCAAGAGAAAATGCCAAATCCAGAAAAAATTCAAGGGTAATCCAAAGAAAATTGTCAAATTCAGAGAAAATTACCAAATCTAAAGAAAAGTGGCTAAATCCAGAGAAATTCAACACTATCAACTCAAAATTTTTTTGGCTTGTAGGAAACATTGTATTCAACATTGTCAACACAAACAATGCATACATACATACATTCATACATACATACATACATACATATGTATATATATATACACATTTATCAACAATGAGGAAATAGAACTAACTAATTTTTTTTTTGAACCTGAAGACGTTGTAGAACTTGAGGACGTTGCTTCCGATGTCGCCGCCACCGAATCTAGTGGAGGAGAAGGAACCAAGGAAACGGCGACGCATACTGGTGATGGCCAAGGCTGAACTATGGGGAGCCATTTCAGCGACAGGGCCGGGACGGGAGGTGGAGAAAGAGGATGATTGGGACTGCGATGTGCCCCTTGCCATTGTTGAAACAGTGCGGAGATTTCGAGACTTGAGCGACGAAGAAAATGGAAGAAAGAGAGAGAGAGTCGGAGATTTTAAAGAGAGAAAGAGACGTAGAGATCAGTAAGTTGATTTAGAGAGTTAAATTTCTCTGTAATATATAAGTGTGAGGTTGAAGGACCTTAGATATCATAAAATAATATTGTGGATCTTTTTCATTACTAAAATGGAAGAGGAATTTCTCTAAATTTTATTTCCCTATCCCATAGTGTTTTCAAAAACAACAATGATTTATCCCACTAAAAACATCACCACTAATAGCACTAATGCATTAAAAAAGTAAAAAAAAAAAAAAAATACAACTCAAAGACCAAAACATCACATCATTAATGGCGGGACCCACTGCCACCTAATTAGTGGGAGCACTAATTAGTGCTCCCAAGCATTTTCTTCTTAAAACAAAAAAAAAAAAAAAAAAAGACCGAGGGCACGATGAGCGACTAAGAGTATTGAGTATTCCATGAAAATGAAGACGAAGAAGGGAGAGAGAGAAGACGTCGTCGGCGGAGGGGACAGCCACCATCACCGGAGCTCTCGCAAAGTAAGAAATTGCAGGCTTTAGGGGGCCAATTAATCAACAAAATTCAACAAATTTTCACCAAAATGAATGAAACCCCGTACCAAAAAAGGTTCACTAAACAGAAATCAATATCAAACAAATCGAAAAAAGCAAGACCCACTTGATTGAGATTGCAAAAAAAAAAAATTTAAAATGCAGACTTGGGGGGACCAAAATCACCTCGAATTGGGAAACTGAAGTGGTGATCTGGTTTCTGGGCTATCCATTGCAGGACCTCCTCTTCCACATGCCTTACTCTCACTCTCTGTTGACTGTCTGTATCCTTTATTTTTTGTTTTGTTTTGTTTTCTATGGACCCCTTTTCTCTTTTTCTATCTATAGTGAGTGAGATTGGGAAGGCGGGATGTGTGGAAGAGAGAAGATCATCCGCCGGAGTTTTTGCCTATCGGATTTGCTTCTCGTGTATTGCAGGAGTTTACACCCCATGCGATCCCAACGGGTGACAGCAAAAAGATGAAAATTTTATGATTTTGATTATTTATAATATTTATTATTTTTATGTACATAATTTCTCTGATGCCCACTAATTTGTAAATTTCTCCCTTTTTTTTATAATTTAATTCTGTGGAGGTATATGTATCAATAATCCTAAAACATTTGAAAAAATTATAGATAACTTATAATTGAAGAAAAAAATGATATAATTTCATATTTTTTTGAGGTATAATTAAAAAAATTAAATAAAAGTAGTCATCAATTATTACATGAAGCATAATTAAATATTTTAAAATAATATCATAATTAAAAAAAAAGTTGATTATAACTAAAGATGCATATAATAAGAAGAGGAATATATTATAGAATTCTCCTAAAACATTTACTTACTGTAGGTCTAGTGTTGTCTTCCATGCTTTTCCTTCTTTTCTCTTTACTTTCGCTGGATCTAGTGTTGTCTTCCATGCTTTTCCTTCTTTTCTCTTTACTTTTGCTGGATCTAGTGTTGTCTTCCATGCTTTTCTTTTTACTTTCTCTAGATCCAGTATTGTCTTCCATGTTTTTCCTTCGTTTCTTTTAAAATTCTGAAGAGATCAATAATACAAAATGGCAAAGAGAAAAAATCTGGCTTTGAGAAACCACTTGGTAGGAGGAGCTGGTTTCCTTATAATTGTGGGTGGGAAAAGAGGGTATTTGTAGGTGAGGAAGAGTGCTTTTTCATTGGAAGGAAAATAGTGAGAAATTTCACTCAAGTTTCCCAGAATTGAGGTTAACAACACTTGTTGGCTCCTCAAAAGAATTGTGGGTGGGGAAAAAATATGCATTTCCTTTTAGTATGAATCTTAACCTAAGTGGACTTTAACAGAACTTGGCCCCTTGAAAAAAAAAAAAAATTGGTTTGAAATTCTTTAAAAATAATTTTTTGAGTTTCAATCAGTATTTTTTTTATTAATTTTTTTAATATTTTTATTTTTTTACTTGTTAAATTTACTTAATTCAAGTACATTTAAAAAGTATAAATTTTAAAATTTTATACTTTTTAAGTGTATTTAGGTTATGTGAATATAAAATTTTAAAAAAAATTAATTAAAATATTAAAAAACCAACCCTAAGGGTGATAAACGAACTAAACAGCTCAAGCTTGACTCGTATTTGGCTCTTTGAAAACTCATTCGAGCTAAGTTCGTTAAATAAACAAGTCAACTTTAAACATATTTTGAAATTTGTTAAAATTTTCAAATCAAGTTTGAACAGTCAATTGTTCATTTGGTTTGGCTCGATATGTCTAAAATTATATAATATATCAAACTACTCAATCTCAGCTCGAAAAAAGTCTGTTTGAGATCGGCTCAAAAGTTTAACAACTAAGTTTAAACATATTTTAAAACTCGTTAATGTTCTCAAACCAAACTTAAACAATTACCTGTTCGACTCATTCAACTCATTTATCACCCTTAACTATAAGATATTTGAAATAATGAACTTAAACATTTTTTTTATGAATAATCTACATATAAAAAGTGACAACATTAATAATTTAAATTATGAAAAATTGGTGATAAGTCCACTTTTATGGATGTATATTATATTAAGTTCAGTGATTGATCTGCTTTTATTTTATGGACATAGTTAATGAAAAATTGGTTAGAAGTACAAATTATTATTTTAAAGAAAAAAAAATCATTTTTACCCTTGTATGTTTTCTATTTCTACTTTTTCTTTTTATTCTCACACACTACTATCAATCGCCACTTACCGCTGGCGACTAACTTTGGACAAACAGACAAGTGAAAACGTGAACAAATAGGTCAGAGCCCCCCCCTCCCCCAAAAAATAATACCATAGATATAATCCAAAGCATAAACAACAATTACATAAATCAGAGTATAAGTAATCCTTTCATTATATGAAGTTGATAATACAAGAGGGTTTAACATAAACAAATGCCCTTCAGACTTACATCTTTTCAAGATATTACTTGGTTACAACAAAAGAGAGTCACAAGTTCAATACATATAAAGCCCTGGGCTTGAATAAATATTTAAACATCTAAACAACAAAACAACTAAATAGACCCTTCAGCTCCTAAGTCCTCCCAAGCTACATCCTTGGAGGTGGTATGTCACCGGTACCTGAAAATGGTTTCCCAAGTAGGGTGAGTCAAAACCCAATAGAAATAGTCTAACACAATATATGAAGTTTAACTAAGATGTAAGTGTCAAAACAAAAGTTAGATATACATAACCAACTTACATTCATCCCATGACCATTCAATATTGACATTCATACCTCAATCCATTTCCATTTATTTATTTCAAGTTAATTCATTTCATTTCATGAGTCCAGTTCATTATTATCTAGACAACCCAAATGAGACTACATCTCAATGGTTCACAATTCAATACAATCATTATTCAAACACTTCAATTTTGCTATTTTACGAAATTTTCATCCGAGGGGAATCGGCACCCATATATATATAAGGTTTCGGGACTTTCACCCTGGACACTCCGGCCAACTTAATTTTAAATGGAGTCCATCCCCTATCTCCTCCCAAACAATGGAGTGCATCCTCTATCTCCTCCTAAACAATGATACATATACAATGTATTTAAAGGCATCGTCATATACAATGACTATTCACAACACATATTCAATGTTTACATCATACTGTCATCTTCAATAACATAATTTAAATGATTAGTTTAATTCACCAAATCCTCATGTAATTTCTACAACATTCATAGCTATCCTCCACTGATAGCTCAAACTAGATATTTCTAAACAGATATACAATCTACGTAACAGATAATTTATCAAATTTTCATAGGTGAGTGATTTAACGAATCCAACTACACCATTCATTTATACCTCATCCCAATTTCACATTTTTCACACTAATTTTATTATTTATACAAAATAATTATTTAATATATATTAGGGCAAATCTCTCTCTCTCCCCCCCTTTTCAAATATCCATTCAAAGGGTAAAATCTACAATTTTAACACCAACCAACCTCTTAACCCAACCCCATTGTCAAATATGTAACAATACATAAAAACCCATCTTTCATAAATTTGAATCTAAACCCTAGATTTCCTTCAAACATCCCAAATCTCACCATATCTTCATAATAACGAATAATTAGGTTAAAATTCATAACAAGGTATAAAATATCCCTACCTCAGCATTAGGAGACCAAAGAAGAAGATGGAGACACTTCAAACAATCCGAAACCACGATCTATTCGGATTAACACGGAGCCCTCAAACTGCTCTACTTTTTTAACAAAGGGAGTAGAGTAGAGAGATGCTTAGATCAAGGAGAATTTGTATAGAGAGAGAGTGTTTTAGAGAGAGAGAGAGTATCAGATTAGGGTTTTGAGAAGAAAAGAAATAAAAAAGTGATGTAAAGCAGCTCTACTGCGAACTGATATATGCGAGGCTCGCTCGAGCGAAGGAGTTGTTGCTCGAGTGACCAGATACAATAAGTGACCTCGCTTGAGCACAAGAAGCGTCGCTCGAGGGCAAGAAGTGTCGCTCGAGCGCAGAATACATACCTTCAGAAGTTTTACAGATGCACACCGTTGCTTGAGCGCAAGAAGCTTCGTTCGAGCGAAGCACTCAACCTTCCTAGAAATTCTGTGTTTGGAAAAAATACTGAGAACACTCAAAGCTCGCTCGAGCACAATAAATCTCGCTCGAGCGAAGAAGCAAATTTCACAAGGCTCGCTCGAGCGCAAGAAGCCTCGCTCAAGCGAAGAACCTAAAATCTGGACAACAACAATCCAGACCAACTAACAACCAACCTGTTCCAAACACGTCCAACGTATTCTAAAGCTCAAATTCAAAGAGTTAAAGGAGGAAAACAAGACATGGAGACAATGTTAAACTACGAAACCCGAGTCCGGAATACAACAAAGGTCGAGTCAAAACCGGGATTGCTATATTTTATGACATATTTGTAAAGAAATTTTATATGCAAGTAAGAGAAATTCCAAATTCTCTTTGTAAAAATTAAAATTTCTTTGTTTCGAGACCAAAATTTCTCTGAGTCGGGCCAAAATTTCTTTGAGTTAAATTTTCTCTATGAAAATGTTGAGGGACCCCAATTACTATGAAAATATTGTATGTCATTTATCTTACAAAATCTTAATATGAGGGATCTTAAAAAAATTCTCCTAATTTTTATATAATTATATCAATTTCATTTAAATTTTAAATTACATAACATTTTATTTTAGAAATTTATAGTTTAAGGTTCCTAATATTAAGACCTTATAAAATAAAGGACATGAAACATTTTTTTTTTTATAGTAGTTGGGGTCTCTTATCATTTTCATAGAGAAATTTTAACTCTTCAAAAAAAAATTTACAGAGAAATTTCATATTATTGAAGAATCTTAATTAATAAGAAAAAATTTATTGGACCTCTCCCACTACCAAAAATTAGAGAGATATGTTTCACTAATTTTCTCTTTATTCTACTCTATTAGAAGACTATCAATTTTTAACCGAACAACTATTTTATTGTATAATATTCCAAATTTGCCATTATATTAATTATATTGAACAAATTTGAAATTAAAAAAACGAGTTAAAGGATGAGATAAAAATAATTTGTTGGGAAAATTTGAAATAAGTGGGACAATGAAAAAATTGTTGTACTAGATGAAATTTTTATTGGTGCAATTCTGACATACAAAAAAGAGTTACACCAGATATAAGGACTTACACCAAGCACACAAGATACTTGCATCACCATGAATTGCAAATATTCAATCATTGTTCCATTGATTTGCAATTTCTTCTAATTTGCTTCACCCCACACCCGTTTTTGAGAGATTTTTTAATCAATTTAATTGGTTTTGATAAAAACCGCACTTTTGCAAAATAAAAATCTACGGGTAAGATAATAATTGAATTATCAACTAAGAGCATCTCCAATGATATTTGTTATAATATCATTACTATTGCTATAATTTAATAATGAATAGTAGTAATTTGTCAAATTATAACAATAGTGCTCCAATGGTACACATGTTATTTTGGTAAATCTCAACTAACTTTCCCTCCAAATTTGTAGATGTTGTTTGGATATAAATTTTTTAATGATTTTATTTTTATTTTTTTTGTTTTTTGTGACCTTTTTTAACTGTTTGTAAAAAAAAAATTATATATTTTCATTATACCCCGACTAGACAAATATAAAAAATGAAAAAGAAATTGAAAATCTATTGTTCCATGGAATTTTTTTTTGTAATGGCAACAAAATTTTTTTTATATAATATTGCAAGATTTTGCAGTCTGAATTTATATATATATATATATATTATTGTTCCCTCTCTGGTAATAATTTCTCCAAAAATCTATTGTAACGGCAAATTTTTTGTTCCGCTATGTTTTTTTTTCATTTTTTATATTATTGTTCCATCTCTGATATATTATTGTTCCACTGTGTTTATTTCTTCCATGAAAATTTTGGAGTCAAATTCTGTTTATTTGGATGATATAGCAAGTTTGGCAAACTTGTTGCCATATTTGAGAGATAAAATGGCATTTGCCAAATTTGGCAGGGGTTATAGCAACCCATTGGAGCAACATTTTTTAAAACTTTTGTCAAATTTTGGCAATGACAGCTCAAAGAACTTGCCATTGGATATGCTCTAACCGTTAATATATCTATTATTTGGAAGGGATGCGAGTGCAATATTGCTAAAATTCTGGGGTTCACTGTCCTTTATCCAAATCTTGGTATAATTTACCCAATTAAAATTAAATCACTCAGTCTTGTTAACCTTAAAATAGTATGTGCCATATACAAATTATG